CAGTATTCCACCAGAACCACACCAAAGCTGTGCGTGACTGGAGTTGCTGCTAAACCTCTTGGCTACGAAAAGTAGTCTTACAGTAGCGTATACAAGAATTAGCTACACAGACGTCCCCGTCAGTGTGTTCCAAAGAGCCGGCCCAGGCGTAGCAAATCAGACTTCCAGATGCAGCCCGATCCCCTGCCATATGATTGGAATTATAAAAGACCTAAGGAGAAGAGACTCACTTTGTAATATTACCCTATATAATACGGTCTGATCCACCCTTTAAGAAAAAAATGAAATATCCCTTCATTGATAAAAATGCTAAAAAAGCTTCATAAAGGACAAAAACAGGCTTGTGACCTTTGTCGGTCCCTTGCCTTGGAGGGATTTTGTGCGCTTAAGATACTCATCAAGCGTCTTAACGATACTGTCTGCTGTCAGGCGAATAACTGTGCACAGCAACAGTTTGAACTGGTTTAGATGCAGTGGAAAATTTGGATGGTCAAGATGGAGACAAGGTGTAACCGTCGGCAGTCCTCTGCATAAATTGCAAGTCAAATGTCGAAAGAGATGAACAGCGCCTCTCTGTGACTTGCGCAAGTAACATGCACAACTTCAGCGCCAACAACCGCAAAGGCAGTTTGCCATTTGCAGGAAGGGAACGAAGATACCTCAGGAAAGTCCCCGAGTCCCAAGTTGCCCTACACATTGTACTTGGGTTGTGGAGGACGGACATTGAAGACACTCTTAAAATATCTTGTCAACAATGGCACTGACCAACAGAAATACCATCAACGGGATCATGAGCGGATGAAATTGCTGATTGATAAACGTTAAGTGTTCGATATTGTTCAAGAGACTACATGTACGAAGAAATTCAAGGACATCAGCTAAAGACGCTTGAACTGAATTAAGGCGTCGCAGAAAACACCAGCTGTTCCGTCGCTTCCATGCAGAGTTGATTTGAGCATTGTCCCCTGGCGCCAAGAGAACAACATGACCGAGGCCACTCCATCTGAAAAACCACTTGCTGAGAGGGATCGCCTGATAGCATCCAGCCTGCTAATTGTAGGTCTTCCACACTGGATGGCCCTGATTGTTGTGATACAGGGACAGAATGTCAGGTCGACGAGGAAGTAAACCGGACACCGTATGGCGAGTTCCAGTAAGTGAGGGTACCAAGGCTGTGTTTTCCACACAGACGCTATGAAAAGAACTGTGGCCCTGTCTACTGATATTTTTTGGAGGCAGCTAGGGAGAACAGCAACGGGAGAAACAGGTAGCACCCAGGCATCTACTTGCCACACCGGAGGATCTGGATGCCACGACACATGCTCTGGGAGTTGACTGTTCTGACGTGATGCAAATAGGTCGACTGATGGCTGGATGCCCATTACTTGAACCAATTTTGCGAACACCTCGAGATGCAGGTGCCATTCTGTTCTGTCGTTGAACAGTCGAGACAACTTGTCTGCTGCACCGTTCTGTAGCCTTGGCAGATATTCTGCTACAAATGTTATGTTCCTTACTAAGCACCATGTCCACAATTGTACCGCTATGTTGGACAGTTCTGGGGAATGCGTGCCCCCTTGTGCTTGATGTATGGCAGGGCTGTTATGCTGTCAACCTGGAGACGAATGCATAAGTTTTGGCGATGGCTTACCAATGACCAAACAGCATGAAAGACTGAGAGCAACTCCAGATGATTGATGTACAGAGATTGTTCCTCGACTGACCAGCGGCCCGGCATAGTTTTTCTCCAAAACAGGCACCCCGACCTTGGAGTGATGAATTTGTTTGGATGGTGATGTCTGGAAATGGGTCAAGCAGAGTCTGACCGTTCCACTGCTTAATACAGGCCAGCGTATCCATTGTCTCCAGTTTTAGTTGAGATGCATGCGACAAAATCACCCGAGTCTCGTAGGAACGTTGCCTGTGAAGGGCAATGTTCTTGACTTGTTGAAGGTGACTATAAAATAGTGGTGCGGGGAACACAGCTTGGATTGTCGATGACAGACGGCCGAGACGTTTTGCCAAATACCGCACTGTATAAAACTTTCAGTTCCAACACTTCTCGGTTGTGATTGATAACACCGAGTATTTTCCCTGCTGGCAAAGACAGAGTCATGGTTCTGGAATTGATGAGGAAGCCGAGATATGTCACCTGTTGCAATGGAACAGACTGCGATTTGTCGTGATTTGTCACAAATCCTACCTGCTGAAGAAGGTTGACTTGTCAGATTGCTCCTGCATTCGTCGGACGATTTGTCGAGAATCAGAATGTCGTCGAGGTAAAAAAAAAACCACAACAAATTCCCATCTGGCGGAGGTGTGAAGCAACCTGCTTGAGGACTTTTGTGAATGTTCTGAAAGTCTGGAGAGGCCAAACGGAAGGCAAGCAAACTGGAATACATGTGTCTGATCTTTCCAAAAGAAACGTAGATACTTGCAATGATCCTTGTGAAGTGGCATCATGAAGTATGCATATTTGAGATCTATTGACCCCAGAAAATCCCCAAGATGTAATAGATCTTTTACCAATTTTATCCCCTCAATCTTGAAGTGATGATAAGCAACGAAAGCACTTAGAGGATGCAGGTTTATTTATAGGCCGGAGTTCCCTGACTTCTTGGGGATTAGGGAAGAAATAAATTGGCCATCTACTGGTGCTTCCAGCGTAACGGCGCCATTCTGTAACTTCTGGGCCTCAGTATGAACAATATCTTGTTTGGTACTCTTTCCGGTAACTGAAATGGCGGCTGAAGAAAATCTATTCTGTGGCCTTGAACAGTCTGAAGAGCCCTACTGTCTTAAGTGAGAGTTCTCCATTGATGAATAAAAAATATGAGACGACCTGTCCGAGGAAAACAATCCACTTTTTTGACTTGTCTTCAGTGGTGCGGGTGGCCTTCAGCTTGCTTTGAGCCAGACCACATGGGCCGTTTGAAATTCCCGAAACAGGACGGAACACCACTTGAGTGCCCACTGTGAAAGGAGCGCCCACTGCGAAAGGAGCGTAACCCTCGGAAGCGTCGGTTAACTGCTGAGTAGTACGGGGACCCCCCCCCTCCAGGAAAGGCTTGACGAAGAGGCCCCTTTGTGACCTTAGTTTTCAACTTGCCGGCTCTCTCAGCCTCCTCTATGTCTTTCAGAAGATTTCCTCCACAGAAAAACACCATAGAAGGAGCTTTCTTCTTCAGGGATTCAAATCGACAGTCCACAAGATCATCAAAGGCATGCTGACGAGCCAAGGCGAGGCTCTGACCAGCAGAGCCCAAGAGAATTAAAGCTGAGGTGACATATTCCTTAACCACAGCCTTGTCAACCCTATCGGGTCATGATGAATCAACAAGGGCATCAAAAAGATGAAACATTAGGCAGTGCCGATTTCAGGAGACGACCATGGGCATCTTTCAGTCAGTCAACTTGTGGAACCAAGGAAGATCAAGTTTCTTTAAAGGTTGGTCTCACCTGGCTGGGAATTTCTGGTGCCTTGAAGAACTTTTCTTGCTCGGCTGGATGAAATTGTTGGCCAATTCTTCCTCCATTGCCTCATGGCCCAATATATTTGAGCGAAGCTCTCCCCACGATGACAAGACTCTGTCAGTAACTGGAGTACCAACTGACTTACGGTGCGGGATGCAAAAGCCCTCTTGACCATCCGGGATGCTAAAGTCATCGTCGACCACGTTAACTTGAATGCCGAATCTAAATGAACCTTACAATGTCGGAGTTGGCTTGCTTGTTCCCATCCAAAGATACCGGACTTCATAGGGGCCGTTGGGCCACGTGACTAACGACAGGATCTGTTGGACTGGTTGCCAGTGGCTGTTGTTGAAAAAGAAGCCACTGCTGAGCGGCAGGAAACCCAAACATGTAGGGCGACATACCGTAAATTGGCGGTTGTGCGGAAGTCACCATGATGGAATGCTGCCCTCTCGTGTCGGAAGACATGACCGGTAGATTCCAAATTGGCCGCGGCGGAGGCTGTCGGAAATTTATTCCCCGGAGGACCTGACAGAGAAGGGGCAACCCAAGGCGAGGTTAAACAGAAGCTGGCGCCTATTCTGAGTGAGGTACGGGCGAGGGGGAGGCCAAAAGTTGACCGTCATACATAGGCCTAGTTTCAAACCGCGAATCGCGCGGCTGATGTGCTGAACTCCTGCCCGAGGCAAGGCAGCTTTTTTCCTGCAAGGTCGGTCAACCCTAGGCCGAAACCGACACGGAAACATTCGGAAGGCTGGAATCTCCACCATTAATAACACTTGAAACTGATTTATCCTCAAGAATTGCTGTGGTTTGGGTCGTAGACTGCTTCGCTTTTTTTGCTAGAAAACATTGGAATCACGAAGGTATCGATAGATATGTCGATGTAAGAAGAGTGGAGCGTGGACTACACTCGACCGTTTCAGACCGCACCACTTAAAATAAAGAGGTGGGGCTCATTTGCATTTTTATCAATGAAGGGATATTCCATTTTTTCTTGTAAAGGGTGGATAAGACCGTATTCTGTAGGGCAATGATACAAAGCGAGTGTTGATGATTAGAGCGGAACATACATGTAATTATGTGGCCCACCACTCGAGAACTAGGCTGAAGGCTTCTTAGCGACTATATAGAAAACGAAATCAGCGTACAAATGATCACAAATTTCCACAAGCCTCGTGCAGACCAGATTGATTGATCACTTTAAAATACACGAATTAGCGGCGAGGGAGAGGAACTGTCAAAACATGAAAATCTCCTACTTCAGCCTCGTTTTTTTTGGGGGGGGGTCAATAAACATTTTTGGGCCAATACTAATCCCTTTTTGAGCCGACTGAGAATTGAACCTTTTGTGGGCCAATAGGCCAAATACCACACTATTTAGTGCTTTCCATCACCGCATTCGCTCCGTCTGTGTAAATTGGGCCCAACACAGGAGTTCAAAAGCCCAAATTGTTGAACTTTCTCCAACTGGTTGTAGCTCTTACAAAATATCCAAAAAAATTAAAAACTTGGGCAAAGGAACCTGCACTGTCATTTATTTAATTCTTTATTTTATTTGCCATCTCCTTTTCCATTTTCGAATATCCAAACACATGACTGATTGTCTACACATGCCATCCAGGGTCAGGTGTGGAGCCCAAACTACACCTACATGTGGCCGACTCAAGAAAAGGATTAGGTCTAATTGTGTTTGATTTCAATTTTAAAGCATGTTGGTACTGTCAGGGACGTCTGGAGCAGAGCCCATGCTAGGATGAAGTCGATACCATAGATGTATGGTATTTGGATACAATGAGAAGTAAAAAACAGTCTTTCGTGACTGCACTGACTTTACACAAAAGACATCAAGACTGTCTTGAAGAAACACGGGTAGGCCTTATCCTTTATGTTACTTTGTGTAAGCCCACAAGTTTCTTTGAAAAGTAAGTTACAGACAAACCACACTGACAGTCAAAGGAAACGCACTGGTATATTAATTTCAAAGTCAGTACCTGAAATGGTATCAACTCACTTTTTCTTAAGATGGGTTTTGAGGACGAGATTAACCAGGCAATTAACCAGACGATAGGCCTTTTATCCACATTACTTATCGGTAATACAGTCGAACCTCATTAACGAGGTCCTTTGGACTAAAGAAATTACCTTGTTATAACAGGAACCTTGTATTATCAGGAATAAACAATACAAAACAAAGGATTGAGACCTAATTATTTTCTTTTTATAACAGGAATCTTGTATTAACAGTGCTTTTCTTGATGAGATTTGACTGCATCTCCAAATGTATTATTGCGGATCCATTCAGCAAAACCGACTGAGTGAAATATGCCATATTTAATTTTGCTGTTGTAGACCTTAATACAGCATAATTTCTCAGCAATTTGAGGACAATACACCAAACTCCACAGCTTTTTCCCAAAACCATCATCAGATTTTAATACGATTTTTCCCACTTATTCTGTGTATCGAAAATTACACAATATTACAAGTAATCACTAAAGTATTTATGAAAGTATTTATACGGCCAAAGAGAAGTCACCTTCGGAAAAATCTTAAATACGTACAACTGCCTAGCACTAGTCACTGCTTCTATATGAGTCAATTACAGGGGTTTAAAATTTTAGAGATATTTGTCTTTGTTTGCATGGCTGCCAACACTGCATTTGAGCTTTGTACACATAGAAATAAGTCTACGCAGCAAGTACATGTAGTTTTTAAGTGGGCTTAAGTGCATTTTTAAAAAATGGGCCACACAGGATGTACTACAAAGTTGTGTGCACCTTTGACCCCTCCCCCAAAAAACACAATTCAATGCAAGTATTCAACCATCACAACACCCTTGTTTTGAGTACAAAAAAATGACGCAGGGTATACAAATGCATGTTATTTCATTGACAAAACTAACAAAATGAAACAAAAATTTCTTTTAGGGGTTTTTGGGGCTATTTACATGACTTATTACGAACATAACCCCGAATTTCCTTTTTGTGAACTTGAGAAAAATCCCAAACGTCTAACAGCATGTTATACAAATTTTTTCTATCTTAATCTAGTTTGGACGCTTAAATGTGTGGCTTTGTATCACTATTCAAAAGGGTCAACTTTCAAAGCATGAATTACTGGTAAGGCGGGAATACCATTTTTTTACCGAACAAATATGGCCACAGTTTCTTTATTACACAATTCCTGAAAAATGAAATCTTCATGCTATGTACAACACCATCTCAGGTCTATCTGTGCTTGCAGCCTGCTTCTAGCTAACAATGACATTCTGTGCCGTTCAGTGCCAACACTGTCAGCCTGGAAATTTGGTTCCTCCTTTGAACACAGAATTCCTTACACACATAAACGTGTGGTAAGACAAAATTCTTGATGAGCCACTGAAATAAACACGTTTTTATCCCTGATTTCTCTGCCATTTCATGCAACGATTATCAAGGATCTACCAGTATACATGTAAGCAGCCACAGCAAGTGGAGACAGGCCCCTGTCCACGATCAATTGACTGACGACCAGGTCAATCAATCACATCAATCATTCGCAGGCAGTGTTCAACATCACCTATTTGCCCCTGTATAATTCTTGGAAACCACTACTCCCCTTGAATTGCGAGGTTAAGTTACTGAGGTTTTTCTTCATTTGGTTTCATTTTAACAGTCTTCATGCACGTGACATGGTACGCCAAAATCAGGTATACCTGGGCAAGGAGTCAAGTTTGAGAAATTGCGTTGAGCTCTCTTTTCAAAATTGAATGGTCCAGGAGTCCAGATTGCGTTGAGCTCTCTTTTCAAAATTGGATGGTCCAGGAGTCCAGATTGCGTTGAGCTCTCTTTTCAAAATTGGATGGTCCAGGAGTAAAATATTTAAATGTTGGAATAAGACTGATCGAAATGCCAAAAATGAGAAATAAACTTTCCAAATTTGAATTTAACCCCTTCACGCCGGGATTCTTTTGACCGTGACGGCTGGGCTGTGGTATGCCCGGTATGCAAAGCTCTGTCCAGCAGCAGGCACCATTGAAACTGCAGCTGTGCCCAATTCCTCCTGGTTTTGACATGCCACACCGCATGATCTTGGGTCAGTCTATGTTCATATGATAACCATGACCCGTAATAACACAACATAAATAGTAGACACCTCCTGTGCATCAAAAGTGAGTATTCAGGCTTCAAAATGACTCTCAAACAGCCAGGCCACAACAGAATTTACAAAGTTAAGGTTTGAGCGGCATTTCCATTAGAGAGCTGGACTACGACAACAAAGAATCACTGTCGCTCTCTGTGTGGAGGGTGGTCCATTTCGCTTATAGCCAAACTCCAGAACATTTCAAGAGAACTGAAAACGCCGGACCAAACGACATGAACAGGGAAAGGTTGTCCCACTAATATATGTAACAGTTTTTATTTATCTTTCGTTTTGTCCTTAACCGGATCAAAATAATATTACAAAGACCTGCTTACAACATTATTCTATTAAGAAGTGCCTACTTGTTTACAACTCCTCCTCGTCATCTGGAAGAGCTGTTCTTTGAGCTTCCTATAAAAGACAAGAGAAGAGACAAAAGAAGACAATAACTGTAACTCTTTGGTGTCTTTTTTACTAGGTACTGGACCAAATCATCCACATCCAACACTGAGACACTCCCCGTGCAATCTAAATTGCTTGCTAGAAAGTCCACCACTGGCGTGATGGCCATTGTTGGTGGATCTATTACACACGGCTTACATGACATCATCAGAACTGTTGCCATGGCAATGAGCACCGAACGCCCTGGCAGTGTTTCAGGCTCCTGGACTAAGTCTATCAGGATTCATCAAGAGTTGGTCACTTTGGGCCTTCTCGACCAAGTCCATCAAAAACCACCAATAAGTGGAGATTAATTTTAATGAATTTGGGGTGGTAAAGGTTAACGGCTGCTTCACCAGACCCTTCACAACACTTCAGCATTTGCCAACAGCATTCACCCCTAAGAACTACATTATCAACAACTGCCATGTTATAGGGAGGTCAATGATGCCATTCTTATTCAAAACAGCGTAGGCATAATTTTGTCGCTGCCCTTCCTAGACTTTCACGACAAGGCTTGTGAACCGACTTCATATGTCGGTACTGGACTCGACCTGAACACTAAAGGGCATCTCAGCTGTGCATGGTGGTATTAACACGTACAGTTGAGCGCACACCATCATTTTTCACCAGAATGAACATAATCCCATTAAGCAATCCCAAAGCAATGAAACTGTATGTGGCTGCCCAGCCACACTGATGGACACGTTTATAGGAATATGGGAAGTAAAACCCAAATTTTATCTGAATTGCACAACCCCTGTGCTTCCCATAGTAATGCATCTGACTACAGGTGCCCTGCAGCAATGATGCACTTACTGACATGTATATCATCACCCTTTCACTCAGAGACAGAAGTCCCACCAGAGAGTAAAAACAGAAAATACCCATTTGTGAAACGGAAAATCATTGGCTCTACACACTTGTCTGTGAAAAGGCTTAAATTTGTGTTACTTTTTTTCTCTTTGTGAAAGACACACACAGTACACCCATTTGCCAGGTGAAAAATTGTATCAAACATTTGTATACATTTCCAGAGTCAAATTTGTCTCTTTCTTAAAGTGGCAAAACAAATGTTGCCCATGCTTTTGCCCTTTTTGCTGATGCGAAAGCTATGGAAAACAACTTTCTCTCTTCGTGAAAATGAAAAATGCGGTTTAGATGAATGTTGTCCCATGGAGATTGTGATTTGGCTGATTTCAGCGAATTTGGTCACCTACTCACCTCAAGGTCTTGGCTGTATTTGAGGAGGGTAGCTGGGTCAATCTTGACCTCGGGTGGCTGCAAGGCAGGCATCTCCACAAACATCAGGTTAGGGTCTCCCAATAGCTTGCGGGCCAGCCACAGGAAGGGCTTCTCAAAGTTGTAGTTACTCTTGGCGCTGATGTCATAATACTGGTGGGGGGTTCAAGGGATGAGAACAGCTTGAACGCATGAACAGCTTTTCGGATTTCATGGATTCCGCGGCAAACACAATTCTTTCCCGGTGACATGACCAGCTGGGTTTACAAGCGCCTCGGTGGCAAAAATCATCCAAACAAGGAAACTGACATTTGAAAAGTTTGAGCAAACTACTTGACTTGCAAGACTGAACTGTGACAATTTCCATGATCACTGCTGTCATTTTGAAGAAAATGGTTGCTTGGTATTATGAACTTCAGGGCTGCCACAGCTTCATCTGTAGACCGACAAGGATAGCCTTCAAGTTTAACTATTATTTTGTTATCACAAAAAACCCGTCAAAATAACCCTTACACTTTTCTGTGACATTAAAGGACAAGAATTTCCCCAGCATTTCTCAGGATATTCCATGATTGTGCAAACCCTGCCAATGACCCTTTCCCCCCACCTCTCCCGTTAGCCTTACCTGCAGGTTCTTTTTCCGGTGGAAGGTGATGTTCTTGGCTTTCACTTTCCTGTCCTTGATGTCCACCTTGTTCCCACACAGCACAATGGGCACATTCTCACAAACCCTGGCCAGGTCCCGGTACCAGTTGGGCACGTTCTTGTATGTGACTCTGGACGTGACGTCAAACATGATGATGGCACACTGGCCTGTGAAATATGGGAACGACGTGTCTGCACTCAAAAATCCCTCATGATGAATCCCACAGAATCTGTTTAACTTTCTGCACACCAATGGATCGGTTTCAATTCTTAACGCTCAAACAATTTGATGGACTCGGTCATATACAGAGCACACACCTAAATTTTAACCTCAGAAAGAGTCATGCTGACGACCTGAACAGCACCCAAGTTGCTCAGACCACCCATATGAACCCGACAAGGTTATGCAGGATTTCAATGGTCCCTAGGGGGTTAGGGTTAACAAGAACCCTGTTGTACTTGGAATGGCAAAGCAAAGTGAAACAAAAGCACCAAGAAACTTCGCTTTTAGAATATGTTCTTTATAACCGTAATGCATTATAGGCATCTTGATATTAACGATTGACTGTACCACATCTGCACTGAACACTTCAAAATCAGGCAAAATCCTGCCACGCCGCCTGCAATACTTATGTATGGCTATTCCAGCAAAGGTGACTGTACAGTAATATACAGTGCTTTTGATGGGACTAGCCAATTAATCTAGCAAACTGGTTCCACTCTGATAATGACAAATTCACATTACCGAGAGGTTTGTATTTGCTGGCTGCGACGAATTTCTACCGCAATTTAGATGAGAACCATCACCCCCAAAATGGCAAATACTACAATTTTTTCCCCTCAATTTTTGGTATCACCTACTTGCTAAGCCTTCAATGCTAAAAGCATCACACAAAATCCATGCCACAATATAGTTTGGCATTTTCTGATGATCAAAATTATGCAAAGTTTCTGTAAATCCCTGAATTCTGATTGGTTGCCATTCCCCTTTCATGGAATTCTTTGTTTAAACACCCGGCTGCAAGGCAAGCAAACAGATGTTCTCTTTGGGGACTTTCTTCTCACCTTGAATGTAGTAACCATCACGTAAACCACCAAATTTCTCTTGGCCCGCCGTGTCCCAGACGTTGAACTGGATGGGACCATGATTCGTGTAGAACACGAGCGGGTGCACCTCAACACCAAGGGTGGCTATAAGACAGAAATATGGGGGGAGGGGGGCATGGAAGGAAATGAAGATTACGTTTGATTATTTTTGTCTAGCTGAGGTACTACTGTTTTACACCATTTGAGATGCTAAGAATTCCACTACTTAACCCTAACCCTGCCAGACACAGCCTGCGAAATCAACAGCAGCCGAACTAGCCATGTTGAGAAAATGGGAGCTAGTCCCATTTGGACAATACCACTGTTGGATCTTGTGGTGACTGGCAACCACAGACTCCCAGGCTGTTTGGCCTTGGGGAGAGTTGCCCTGTTGGATCTTGTCACACTGGGCAGGCAAGCCACTTTGACAAATGATACAGACTGATGTGTCTGGCACGGTCTCTAGCCAAAGTACACTGGATGGTTAGGGTTAAGACTGTGATATCAACAGTGTTGTAGATGAGGCCGTCACAAGACCAGTCACAAAATGATTAAGAGGACAAACAGTGACAAGGGAATGCTTTTGTTACAGTCTGTTTGATTAGGGTTACATTTTCTCCAGAACGCCGAACACAGTAAGACTCACCTACATATTTTTTCTCAAACTCTCCTGATAAGTGCCGCTTTACGAATGTTGTTTTTCCGGTACCTCCATCACCTACTAACACAAGCTGTAAAGAGAAAAAAGTGAATAAATATCCCATTTCTAAAACGTAATTTGTATGGCACTGCTAGCCTCAGCCATCTCTGCTATGTACACAGTTCGTGGCTAAAGTTCATGCCCTTAGCCCCAATAGAAATGTTCCTCCTTTGCGTTATATTCTTTCAAGCTTCAATCTTGAAATCGTCCACCAGCGGCCACTGCTGCGATGCTCCAGTGAATTGCCGTGATGCCCCTTAAAAACAGCGCGTACCTTTCGGCCACTTGGCCAACATGCCCCTTTTCAATGATCACTAGGCGCCTATTTGTATTTTAAAGTTGTATTCAACTTTCAAGTTACCGTTTAGCGCTAGCGTTTCTGTCAACTGGTTTTGCATCGCCCTGTAGACAACATGGTATAGCAACCATATCAACGTAGTCGAGTTGTGTGCTTCTAAAAACGTGGCACCAGACTACTTTTATACATAGACTGGCTACAAGTCGCAGCACAGAATTACACATTCTGCACCAATTGGATTCTGTGCGCTGCGCATATTTGAGGCGGAATCACTATTATTTTGGGATTGAGGACCGGAATACGACTCAGTCTATTTTTTTTTTCCTTGCTATTTTACTGGTATTCACGTGGGCACTGGACATGGGCATGATAGCAGGCTTCTATTGGATAAATGTTGGTGACCCAGTGACCGACTTGCTTGAATTGCATGAGTAATTACATTGATTTTTGAAATACAGTGTTAATTTTATGGCATCATGAAAAGTGATGAGACACAACACCAAATGGTAAATTAAAGTTAGTACAGTATTATTTATTTTTACTTTTTACAATTCACGCAGACTGCTCAGCATGTAAACAGAAACAAAGAAACTTACAGGTTGACAGTTCAAAACCATGTTGAAATTGAAGGAAAGTCTGTTAAAGTCACCAACAAGTCAAAAATTCGAAATGGCCTTGGTGCCCTTTGGTTTATGGGAGCATTCAACGCCAAGTGGCCTTGACCCTCTGAAGCTTAACCCTAACACTCCTCAGTCCTCCAACAGGTGAAGGATTGAGGAGGGTTAGGGTTAAGGTTGAAGCCTCTTCTTTGCCAATATCTTCTCAGCTGATGACCAACTACAAGTACATGTACACTACACCCAGGTATTGCAAATCAGATGAGTTCCTAAGTCCAGTTCTGTAGTCAACCATAACCCCAGCCCAACTCAAAAGTTCATGTTAACTTTGGGTTGATTTGCCAAGTCTGATTCATGAAAATGTGGAAAGTTGGTCACGTTGTTACCCATCCCATCATGTATATTCTTAAGAGAGGTTTTCTTTTTAGATTTGTTTTAAATTGTTCAATATAGGAAATTCACAATACCACGTGCCACTAAGAGGTTACCACAGAGAGCCCTTTCCTGCAGTGCATTGTGGGAAAATGGTCGACAAAGCTCTGTGTGCAAGCTGCCCATTTTTTCTCAGACTGTCTACTGACATCTGCTCAAATGCAAATTATGGCAAGTCGGGCATTTTTTGAAGACTGTAAGCTTCAAAAATGGCCTCTCTCTAACAACCTCTTGGTGGCGCACTGTATTGGGCATTGCCCGTACCACCTCAACTAATTCAACTTTCAATTTTTTTTTTTGAAACTTCTTCTTTGTGAATTACAATCCAAAATGGGACTGGCAGCATCATGAGCAAATATCCACTTTGTTCAACGTCAACTCAAATCTTCCCAAATCATCCGAAAATTCTCTCAGTAGTTCTGGAGGATTGAGACTATATGGTGAGACAAAAGAGCCTATTGCAAAGGACGCCCTGTGTCAATGTCTTGGAATGGGCTGGGCTTTGCATTTTATGCACTGCCATGCACACGTCCATGCCTTAGATTACGTGTGAAATCATCAACACTGCTCCAGGGTTGCACAGGGACTGCAGTAGGATTTTGAGGGATTGGGACAATGGGCTCACCTCCAAGGGACACATTCGAGACGAAATGGAGAATTTAGGAGGACTGAAGTCATCTCCAATTGTTGTGAGGCAGTTGGAAGATATTGCAAGACTGAGGTTGCATCACAGCGAAAATGTCTAGGGAATTAGGGAATTACTGCCAAAGAGTTCAGTTGTGTTCAGTTTTGATCCATCTGACCTGAAAATGTAGAGATTTTCAGTTTAACTGGAGCACAACGTCAAGTAAAAAAAGCCTCCCCCTCCAAACATGCCTACCATTTCTGCCCTCATCGTTTTTCAGGAAAATGGGAGATGGACCATTTACTGTGGCTCGGTAGGGGCAAATCCATACTCATACTTACCTTGAAAGTAGCCAGCGGAGCCTGTTTTGTTGCAGAAGCATCCTGTGCCAATGCCATGGCTTACAACTGCAAAGGACACAGGAGAAGCAGGTGTGATAAGGTAAGCCAGAAGCAAGCATGAGGGGGCACTGTACATGTGATGTGTCAGTTCAAATAAGATGTGAATTTTTTTGGTAGTAAAAAAAAAAACAGTTTCAGGGTCACTGTCTGCATGCATTGTACAAGACAAACATGTATGTACCAAGATTTGTTGATGATGTACACGTACCAATAAACAATGAAATATGGCGCAGTTCATGGGAAGTGGCAAATGGTAAATTGGTGAAGTGACCGACATCAATCACAAGTACAACACAACTTCATTGGTCGTCCAGCCTTGAGCCAAGTCTCAGGCTAGTCAACTAAATTGCAACACTAACAATTTTCCTTTGTTGCTTCGTTTTTCATGAATGAGTCTGTGTACATTGCGAAAAGACTTGTGACTGTCTCAACTGTAACAATATGAACGATGAACACCATATAATAGACATTATGAGAAATGTTTCTACTTCTGTTGGGCATGATCGGTCTATCAGCACAAGCACAGTGTGCTATCAGTTGAAATTGTACGAAATCTTTGAATTTACTTCCCTTTCTTGAAACAATCTTCCACAACTGCGAGACAGAGGTGAATGGGTGATGGTAAACTTACCAGCAAATTGAGCGTAAAAATGAACAGATTATGTAAAGATCAAGATTGAACGATTGCACCAATCATTTGCACTCCAATGGGTAGTAACTAACAGGGTGAAAATCACTGTGTGTAAATGGATAAGTCCAAGGCATCTGTTACTAGGGCAAAGTTTCAAGTTCCGATTCAATGAAACATGGTTCACAAACATGACAAAGAAAGCCAAGGAATGTTTCAACATTTTAATAGCATTTTTTTGAATGCAAATAAATACACACAAGTACTGGCATGATTGGACTTATTTTCATATGGTATTCATATCTTGGTAATATTTGGGATGCTCAAAAAGGTACACAAATAACATAAATATTGTAAGACATATATTAGGAGTCCATTTTTTTTCTAGTAGGCCCTGCTGGTTATTATGCCTAGAACGACAAGAAAGGCAAGTGGCAGAACAAAATGACCCTTTGACTTAAAATAAGACATCATCACAAAAAACAACACCACCACCTATGTTTCTCTTACTTGATGGATGTTTAAGGATTTGATGGATGCAAATTGTACCGATAGTTACTGACACGACAAACACCTGGGATTTACGTCGGCAGCAATGACAAGGTAACGTAACTCAGGTGGCGCAATAACTACACAGTCTGACCAGTTCAAACCGGTACATTCAGTCTTCAACAATAAAGTCATGAAAGAAATTTTCCTATTGATATTCACTCAAGTCTTCTACGTCAAAGCAAACAAAAATATTAATTGCTTCGCAGTGGAGAAAGATACAAACCTTTCCAAATAAAGCGGCCAGTAAAAATTTGAAGAATATATCCGGTTCCTTTCCCGCGGTTCACGAGTTTTCCCAACTGTACAATGGAGATTGGTATGATTCCTGTCTCATAGTCACACCTAGTAAAGTAGATGCGGCCCTTTGGCGTGTTAACCAGACTGTCCTTAAAACGTGGGTCAAAAGAAAAGTTGGATTTAAGAGGGCGCTATTTGGGCTAATTTTTTTTCGCCTTGCGCGGGGGGCGCAACTTCTTGATATCGATGGTAAATATCTTGATTGTAGGTCCCCGACTTAGAATTTATCATCTCAAATTGGTCCCATGGCAGCGTTTGGTGGGGGGTTCAAAAGCGAAAGCGGCTTTGGCTTCATTCAGCATAACGTTGGGAGAAAAACAATATCAAAATCATTGCTCAGTGCCAATTACTTTCTTTCCTACTCACCTATGAAGTATAACTTGGAAAAAAAAAATCCATCGGCGAGGGGAGGCCCCCCTGCTGGATATACCACTGGCTCATGGGCTTCGTGTGGGCAGTTACCAAAGTTGAAACATAAATAAAGGAAAAGGTGGGCCAAAGATATGGAAAAAGAGATAACGGAATAAAAATTACCACTGTGCTTGAAAAAAACCTTCAAAATTGCCCCCCCCCACAAAATTTCCCCTCTGGAAAAACATAGTTAGCGCCCTCAAACAAATCCTTGCTATGCCCGTGACTAGGTCAGCTTCTTGGCAACTGAAATCACATTTTAAATTAAACTGAGAGGGTCTTTTAGATGGAAATCGAATTCGCGTCTTGGTATTATCAACATGAAAATTTTCAATTGATTTGAGCCCAATTACTAAGCATACATAACACAGGAAAACGGTGACAAGAAAGGCAACTTCAATCCTTCAATTCAGAGGCATAACCTTTCTAGTCCCCAATCCAATCTGGTTATTTTTCCTCCATGGGCCCTTATTGCTTAACAAAAAGAAATTCCAGACCAACTTTCCATGGCAGAAATTCCAGACCAACTTTCCACGGCAGAAATTATGACAGGATTTGCTCCTGTAGTAAAATCCAAACAAGTATCCCTCATCAACACACAACATCAAAATTTGCATTGGACAAAACAGATGACAAAGTTATTTTGGCAAAAACAATTAGTTAAGCCGACACCCTAGAATGAAGACCATAGCTCAGACTTCTTTCCTTATGGTTCTTAACAGCCATAAAGTTTATTCAATTCAGAATTTTTGAACTATTTAGGATTACACTGACACTTCATGAGATTTGACAAGGGTACATGGGTTAAGAGTGATAGGCTGTGAACTGGTAGTGAATGAAAACATTCACAAGAATCAATCACACATATTAATCTAAACAAATTCCTGATCAAGTCTTGCAGACCAATCACGTAATTCTTAATAGATCATTTGCACTTCTGCCAATGATTATCCATCTCTGTGAACCTCTTCAATCTGCTGTCTTGAATGAAAGGCCAGACCAGATAATGACACTTTGGATGTCGGGTCATGCCAAAAACTGACATTACAGATGTCAGGTCATGTCAGAACTGTGGATGTCAGACGATGCCAAAACAGCACATATTTGGATGTGAGGCAGAGTCAGCAACTGAATTGACTTTTGGACATTAATCCACATCAGAAACTGACATTTCTAGTGGCTTTTGTTAGAAAGAATTAATGATGCAAAAATTACTAGTTCACTTTACATTTCCAATTCTGCTTTTTGAAGAATATACATGTATGTGGCAAAACATGGAAAGGTTTTATAGTGACTTCAGCACAATTAGGATTTTCTTTTGACACAAGATTTTTTATACTGTATGTGGGGTCGCACTACTCTCGCGAAATACTTGTATATAAATCTCAGCCCTAACAGTGGCATCTCAAACGAACCACAATTTAAAATATTTCATCAAATTTACAGTAAACTTTTGAGCCAAAGCAAACGTGTTGTTTCATCTATAGGGTGCTCTTGTGCTATACTACATGTTCAACATATGAAGGTCACTGGACTGTAATTTCAAACGATCACTGATTATTCTGTGTCTTGCCGTGCCATACTTGCAAGCCGCCCTCAGAATTTTCCCGGTCTCCGCCTACCAGTGTATTTGGAGTCTGGTTTGACATCCCTACAAAAAAGCATTGATACCAGCAGAAAAATTTAAAATTGATAACAAGGATGAAAGTCCAATTTTTACTGAATGGATTCATGAGTTTTGTTTATCAAATACCAATAAGCTTGTCTCTAATTTAATATTTTATGCAGGTTTAAATGTGGTTCCAAAGTTGAACTTCATAATTTATTAGATACAAAATAATTTCAATAATTTAAGAAATAAATTAAATTTCTTCATTCCAAAACTAGTTTTCCTTTTCAACAAATTTCAAGAATTTCATTGAAGGGTGTTTGAAAACTTGGAACCCAAGGACACTCTTAGCAATCTGAGAACAATTTTATAAAAATTTCAAAGGTTGGACAGAGTTTGTCATTGAATAAGTTTTTGTAAAGTCACACAGAAACTCCATTTTGTAGCATTTAGTAACACTACTTTGATGATTTTATTAAATCATTTTAAAGGTTGTGTTCATGTCTGGGCAAAAGCCATTTTCCCTACTGCACACATATTTGTGGTAATCAATTCATGGAGCTGGTGTGCTTGCGAGCCATGTGAGACATTTTTTCCTTGACTTTAAAAGCTAAACGCAGTGAAATAATTCCATCCAAAAAAGCAGGTTGCCAAGCCAAATGCCATGGAGTTGATATTGCTGTTGGTCGGTTCCAACCTGTTTTTTCCTCTTATCCAACAAGAACAAGGTTGGGGTAGGGCAGTAAGTTTAAAAGTAGTGGAATGGAAATGGGGGAGGCAGAAAAACAGAAGTCTGGTTCCCATACCAAAGATCCAAACGTGCGCTGCACTTAGGAACGGAAGGGAGCATGCCAGATATTATGTCAATCTGAATTCTTATGGTTGACGACTACCTGCTATGATATTATTAACGACAGGAAACCAGCTTGCAAAACGCAGTATCTGACTAGGTCTTACCCTTTTCCTTGCCGACGCCTCCTCTCCTTCTTCTCCTTTATCCATTCCCTGCTCTTCTTGGGGGGTTTGCCTTTCATCTGCTTAATTCGCTGCCTGCTGTCGCTGTACTTCACCTCGGTGGGGATGCCCCTGTCCCCTTTCCCAGTCCCGAGGCCCTGGAATTCACAGTTGAGAAAATAACAGGTCGAAAATTCGCAGTAGATTACTTCCACAGATGTGCTTTGTGTCACAGAGATGTTCATTACTATTGATCATTTTTTTTGAAGGGGGGGGGTGGAGTTAGACTCAGACCATCCAATCGACCCGGCAAGCTCATTGGTTAAGTCCCACTTGAGTATTTTTTGTGTTATGAACATAAATCGGTGCAAGGGCAAAAAATACATGAAAACTGACACCAGATTATCAAATTATTTCTATCCTAACAACTTGCTCATTTGCTACCGTTGGAAAGAAACAAAAAACGGGAGAGGGTAACCCAAAAAGATTTAGGTAGAAGGTTATCTAGGTTCTTCCTGGACACTATTAACAATATTTGGACATGACATTGTTATGCAACCACTCCTAAACCTCTGCAACTCAGAGGCCCACTTTTGGCCAATCCAAAGCAAATTTGGGATGCTCAATTTTCCAATTGCTGGCCAAAACGCTGGCACATAAATTTCAACTGCTCCCCACACAACCTCCCAAGACACAAACCATTAACCCTCAAAACTCCAAAAAGCATGTGAACTTGTAAAAAAAAGATGAAAAAATCCCAGTAAAACTCATTACCTTCGGAATCTGTGGATTTGCCAGCCCAGCAAAGAGACACAGAAACATTCTGCAAAAACAATATGAATAACAGCTTTCTCCATGTGACCATGACAATAATGACACACAAAATTATCTGTACTGTCCATACTTAAATTTCTTAAAGTGAGATTTTGGATTCGCTGGGTAAGAATGTCCTCTATGCATTCATGTAATGCAGTTGGAATACATCCATTTATTTACATGTACATTGTACGTGGGTATTAATCAAGGTAGCCTCTCCAATTACCAAAGAACTGCTCTCACTGGAAGCAGCAAGGACAATTCAATGGAGAAATATTCAATTTTAGGGCGGGAGGAAAACCCAGGTGAATGTTCTGGGGAAAACCAATGAAATCAGGTGGGAACTGAAAACCCAATCTAAATGTCGACCTAGGCAGGATTCAAACCCAGAACGCAGTGGTGCAAGGCGAGGTAAGTCCCACTCTGCCAACTTGGCTGTCCATAACCTCACAACTGGGGTAGTTCAAATACGATGAACGTATATGTGACCAAGTGCACTTGAGTAAGTGTTTGATTTTATGGGGAGTTGGGTGGGTGCAGCGTTCTGTCCTTGCATTCCACCTCTGTGGTCCGGGTTCGATTCCCAGCTTGGTCTACATGTGGATTGGGTTTTCAAACCCCTATCCAATTTTGTTGGTTTTTACCCAAAATATTCCTCTGGGCTTTTCCACCAAATTCTAAAACTGTAACTGCTTCTCATTGTCTCTTCTCTACAGGTTTCTTCAGGATTGTGAACTACGGTATCCCAGGGCACTTTTGAGGAATCCTCGATGTCATTACCAGAAATAATTACAATGTAATAATAAGAAGAATAATGTTTAGTCAGAAACACATCTCTTTTTTTCTCCATTTTTTTTTTCATACTTCTTCGCCCTAGTGCTGTTCGGGTAGTCCACCACAACACCCCCAGTGAAACCGGCTTTCATTGCTTGGGACGTGATGAGTTCCAACTGTTGTGAGTTCTCAGGGTAGAACTGAAAAACGGCGCGGCTGCCGCGTCTCTAAAAAACAACATGCAAAAGGAAAAAAGGTCAACCAATAAGAGATAATTCTTAAGCTTTACCCTAACCCCCTGGGACCACTGAAACGATGCATATGCTTGTTGGATTTAGAATGGTTAGGATTAACAACGGGCAAACAAGACAGAGACTTACTTGGGCATATTCCCAGTATCAAGTTCCCTCATTTTAACCCCTTGGTGATGGGATTTTCTTTCCGAAAGCCGACTCCAAGAATTCCAGCCTTGCTTGGCCACGAAGGCCATCTGCCAAACCGCAAATTCTCGGTTTCTGGCCCTGCGTGCTCTGCACACTTTGAATTACACAGTGAAAAGGCTGATTGTTCGGTGGCATGCGGCTCTACTCACACTTCCACATTCCCG